CTCTTGCATCAACACACAACCCAAACCCTCTCGTGAGGCATCACAATAAATCGCATAACCCAAACCTCTCTCCGAAATAATCAAGACCAGAGTGGTGGTCAATCACAGGAAAGACTCGCTCGATCGAAGAACATCTCGCTCGAGCGAAGAAACACTGCTCTCAGGTCTATACTAGACGCAAACACTCGCTCGAGCGAAGAAACCCTGGCTCTAGCCACCAGACACAAAACTCAACCCTCGCTCGAGCGACCAAACTCTCGCTCGAGCGACCAATCCAAATTCTGGACAGTAACCCCTGGTTTCAAAACCCAACCAAAACAAAACAAACCTGCCCAACACATCCGATAACTCAAAAGAGAAAATAAAGGATGACAACCACAATTATACAATGAGAGAATCCAGGGAACCTAAGTCCGGATACAACAACCAAAAGGAAAAGACCGGGGTCGCTATAGAGAGTAGAGTCCTACTAGGATTGTGCAAAACCATCTCACTTGGTTGGTAGTGAGTAGGGTGTGTGATTCCTAGGAGGACTCTCATAGGGAGAGTTGGAATCTTACTAGGATTGTGCCAAAGTAAAGTCTATAAAAACTCATGACCAAACCTGTGGACAGGTATCCTAATTCTTACTCTAGAATACACAGAGCTTATTGTCTATTGTCTAGTTGCTGACTTAGGCATCAGAGGGGTTTCCGGCACACACCCGCTGGCTAGCTCACGTTTGTGTTTTCAGGGAGTAAAGCGATGACGTTTGGAGGAGTGCAAACTTGATCAACAGGATCATACGAGAAGAATTATTTCGTGCTTGTACAAGACTTTAATATAATTATGTCAAAATTATAAATTATATTATATTTTATCTAAATTTCATAAAAGATCAATGTAATTTATCTGAAAATTATTTTTTGCTCTTAAAACAAATATATGTACATCCGAAGTTGAGTTTTATTAGTTTAAACTCCTAAGTGTTTTATTGGTTTAAACTATAGACCTAATACTTTGAGAAACCATTAGACAAATGTCATTTGATAAACGGTGTAAAGCAGTGATTCAAGACCACCAAATACTATCTTCCTAAGGACAAACATACACAAAAGTTAGGTCTGGCCCAATGGTCTTATTGTCTTTATTTAGTTTATTCAAATAAGTTAGAATACAATGAAATAATCATTTCTTAGACTCTTTTATAGAATGATTATTCCCTTAAAATGGTGAATAATAATTCTATTTATAATGCATTTTGTTATTATTTTTTTAGTCAACCGAACATGGAGATGAATTGTGATGCCCCCAAATTAATTAAATTACAAGATTTCTTATAGCCTGATTTATCCGAAATCTTTCCAAGTCAAACAATAACATTAATCTCCAAAGTCCTCTTTTCCATTGAACTACAAAGCCATAACTCATTTAAATTCACTACATTCTTTTCAAAGCCATTTCAAACTAATTATGCACATTAAGTCATATACAATAAATTAGGGTCTTTCCTTCCTCTTTCTCAATATT